TTCCACAGGTAACCCCCCACCCACGGCTGTCCCCCCCAGCCCCTGAGTGCCCCCCGTACCCAGCATGGCAGCGAAGATGCCCACGATGCCGGTACCGGCGCCCAGCTCCAGCACCCGCCGCCCTGCCAGCTCCAGCTTCTGCTCGCCCAGGAACCGGCACAGGGACAGGGCCTGGGGGGACAAAGGGGACACTGGGGGGTGGGGGACCCCAGTTCATGGATCCCCTCCCCGCCGCGGGGCACCCCCCAAGCTCAGGGCCCCCCCACCGCTTCTTCTTGTGCCCCCAGGGTCCTCCCCGGTCCTCCCATGGCCACCGCGGTGTCCCGCGGAGCAGCCACCCTGCCAGGACACCTCACCCCCCGGTAGCCCCTCAGAGTGCCCATGCCCGGTGCCCCCTCCGGTGTTCCCCGTTCTCTCGAGGTTTCTCCCCCCGCCAATCACGCATCGCTCCCGGTGCCCACCGCGATGTCACCCCCCGGTACCCCCGTTCTCTCGGGGTCCCCCATTGCCCATCCCTCCTGCCACCCCCGGGATGTCGCGTGTGTCCCCCGGGATCCCCTCGCGCCATCACTCCCGGTCCGCCCGGGATGTCACCTCCCCCTTCCCGGTGTCCCCGACAGCCGCGTACCCTCGGGATCAGCCGGCTGTCCCCATCACCCGGTGTCCCCCGGGATGTCACCTACAGCCCCGGCGGCGAGCCCGGGGTTTCCCCCGCGCGCCCCCGGTGCCGCTCACCGCCTCCCAGACGGCCCCGGCGGGCCCGAGCCGCGGCCCGTGGTGCTCCGCGATGTGCAGGACGCGCCCGCACAGCCGGAACCGGCGCCGCTCCGGGAACAGCTCTGCGAAGAGCTCGGGGTCGCGGGGGAACACGGCCCGCAGCGCCTCTTCCTCTTCCTCTTCCTCTTCCTCTTTCTCTTCCCCGTTCTCTTCCTCCTCCTCCCGCTCCCCCCCGGTTCCCACGTGGCACCCGGGCGCCGCCATCGTGGAAGGGGCGGGGCCGGGTCGAGCCCCCCGAACCCGATTGGCTGATCCTGGTTAAGCCACGCCCCCTCCGCAGGTGATGTGGCTCCGCCCACGGCGCGCGCTCGGTCCCGGCCCGCGGTCCCGGGGGAGGGGCTCCGGTGTCCCCGAGTGTCCCCTTCCCCATCCCGGTGTCCCCCGCTGTCCCTCGATGTCCTCCGGTGTCCCTCAAAGTCTCCCCGTGTCCCCTTCCCCATCCCGGTGTCCCCCGCTGTTCCCCAGTGTCCCCCGGTGTCCCCTGCCCCACCCCCATGTCCCCTCCTCTATCCCGTGTCCCCTGCTGGGTCCCTGCTGTCCCTTAACCTGTCCCTTCCCCATCCCGGTGTCCCCCGCTGTTCCCCAGTGTCCCCCGGTGTCCCCTGCCCCACCCCCATGTCCCCTCCTCTATCCCGTGTCCCCTGCTGGGTCCCTGCTGTCCCTTAACCTGTCCCTTCCCCATCCCGGTGTCCCCTCCCGTCCCTATGTGTCCCCTGCCGTGTAACCCTGTCCCCTCCTCCATCCCGCGGTGTCCCCAGTGTCGCCTGCCCCATGCTGGTGCCAGGGGTGGGTCCTAATGTCCCCTGCTCCATCCCTGGTGTCCCCAAGCCAGTCCTCGCCGTTCCTTGCCCATTCCCGTGTCCCCTTTCTGCTCGCAGGCACAGCAGAGCCCAGTCCTGGTGTCCCCTGTCTTATCCTGGTGTCTCCTGTGTCCCTATCCCGGTGTCTCCTGTCTCATGCTGGCGTCCCCTGTTCCATCCCGGTGTCCCCTGCCTGATCTCACTGTCCTCTGCCCCATCCTACTGTCACCTCCTCCCATGTCGGCTGCTCTGTCCCCAATGTCCCCAGGCCATCCCTGGTCAGCCCCGGTCCCAGCCCCTGTCCTGCCCCACTCCTGGTGTCCCCTGTGTCCCCATCCCTGTCCCCAGTGTCACCACAGCAGTCCTTCCAGGGGTTCTTCCCAATGCCACCAGCTGTCCCTGTCCCAGTGCCATCAGTGCCACCAGTGCCACCGGTATCACCACAGCCCTGGGGCCCTGATGTCCCTGATGCCAGTGTCCTGTGTTCTTGCTGTCCCTGTCCCACCTGTGTCCCTGCTGTCTGTGTCCCTGCTGTCCGTGTCCCTGTCCCACCCGTGTCCTGGTTGTACTGGGGGGCCCTGGGAGCAGCGCCGGGCCGCCAGGGAGCGCTGTGAACTCCAGCCAAGGCTCGCTCCACTGTCAGTTCGCACGTGACGTCACAACCCCGCGCCGCGCAGTGACGTCACTGTACGCGCCGCGCGGTGCCGGCATGGCGGCGGCGGAGCAGGACCAGGAGGCCGCGGCGCCGCCACAGAAGCGCTTCTACCGGCAGCGCGCGCACTCGAACCCGCTGGCCGACCACACCCTGTGCTAGTGAGTGCGGGGACCCCCGGGAACCCCCCGGTAACATCCGCGCCGGGTCCCGGGACCGCCCCAGCGCCCGCGGCCTCCCTCTCCCTCTCCCTCTCCCTCCCTCTGTGCTCCCCGCCGCCCGCAGTGGCTCTGGCCGAGCGCTTCCCGCGGACGCTGGCGCTGGGGCTGGAGCTGCGGGGGAAGGTGGCCGCGTTCACGCGCGCCAGGATCCGCGCGCTGCGGGCGGCGCAGCCCGGCCGCTTCGGCAACGTGGCGTGCGTGAGGGGCAACGCCATGAAACACCTGCCCCACTTCTTCCAGAGGGCACAGGTGGGACTGGGAGCCACCGAGGGACGGCCAGGGGCTTCTGTGTGCCCTGGGCCACCCTAGAGCCACCCTAGAGCCACCCTAGAGCCACCAAGGGACAGCCAGGGGAGCTTCTGTGTGCCCTGGCCACCCTAGAGCCACCAAGGGACAGCCAGGAGCTTCTGTGTGCCCTGGGCCACCCTAGAGCCACCAAGGGACAGCCAGGGGCTTCTGTGTGCCCTGGGCCACCCTAGAGCCACCGAGGGACGGCCAGGGGAGCTTCTGTGTGCCCTGGCCACCCTAGAGCCACCAAGGGACAGCCAGGGGAGCTTCTGTGTGCCCTGGCCACCCTAGAGCCACCAAGGGACAGCCAGGGGAGCTTCTGTGTGCCCTGGCCACCCTAGAGCCACCAAGGGACAGCCAGGGG